GGGAGGCCCACAAATACTATTTTTTAAGGCAAAATGTATATTTCCTTTATTTGTACTTAAACTTGTTAACCCTTCACCTTAATAATTGAGGTTGTTAACAAGTATAGCTTCTCAGTCCCAGAAAAGAATAATCATTCATTACACAGGCATGTGCTTTTACTTCTTATTTTGAAGTTAGATTCTAGATCCCCAAAATATCAAAACAAGAATCATATCTAGTTATCTATAGTGGAGACATCTTTTATCATGTTGGCCAGAGCAGTCAAGCCCATTGAAATTGACTAGACTCCAGTACCCCTCTTCCCTAATAGGCACATTGAGAAGTAGATTATCTAGGAAAAGATACAGAACTCTAAAAGAAACATCCCAGAAGTAACACAGCCACTGCCCAAATGGAGGATGAATATACCCATCTTCAGATTGTATGTTCCTTGAGTAATTTGGGAATAAACCCATGATTTGGTGGGTACTAAGATACTTGGAGGTATTCTGAATTATATTACAGCTTTCCCCAGAAGTTCCCCAGGTTGTTTCCAAATCACTGGCAGGAGAATTTTGTTGGAACTGGATCAGAGGCTGACGGGGTTCCTCTCCAGAGTTGTGGAACTGATTGTTCCAGGCCTGGTTGTTCCTAGCTTGAGCACATCTGATCTGGCTCTTCTAGTACTGGCTGCTCCAGGTTTCTTTCTTCCAACTTGGAGTATATTGGGTCTGATTGCTCCATGTTGGGAGGCTTTCAGGAGTGTTCCCCAGAAATCCCTGGTGATAGGAATAGAAGCTGGGGTATACTATTCATGTAAGGAGATTTTGAGTCACACTGTTGCTGTTCTTTGACAGCTATTATACTGCCACCTTTCATGTTTTATTCTCTGGTTCTGGAACCAGATCCTAACCTGTTTGTGGCTGAGGTTCTGGATGTTGAAAAATTCTTGCATATGCTGGTGGCGGAAGTATTTTGATGCTGAAGTCTATCATTCAGTATGTAGAGATGGGTCTGAGGGGACGCAGTTCTGCTCTTCTGTTTCTTGACTGGGCCCTTGTCTTCCTTCTTCACTGTGCTTTCCTCTCCAGAGGTAGACAGTAGGCTTATTTTTCAGCTGGTGGAAGAATCAGGGATGTCCTGAATAAACAGATCCATGGAGGAAAGAAGAGGGGAGACAGTCTCCATGTGGGGTTGTCTCAAAGGAGCATGTTTGCAAGGATGCATAATTTTCTTCAGATCTATAGATTTCAGGCATCAGTGAATTGTCCCTAGAATTAAATAGTGTCCAGGCAGACTTTGGAGACAAAATGGATCCACATTCACACTGAAGGAGAGGGAAACCCGGTATTCCATCTTCCCCTGCAAGAGATCCAGATTGTCTGAAAGATCAGATTTAAATCTGCAAATATTATTTGAATATCAAGCTTAAAAGTAATGATTTTGATTAAAGTAATGATTAAAAGTAATTATTACAAGTATGAAGTTTTCTACACTAAGAAATTTGATTATTACTCTTTGTCATATAGTACTTCAGTTGATAATCATGGGAGGATTTCCTCACAATAAACCTAAGCCTTAAAAATATATATTCAAAATCTTCTTGACTTCAGCATACTCCATTGTTTCTAATTGTTTCTCCATTCCATTTTTGTGTATGTGTTTATATGTGTTTGTATGTATGTAAATACATCAACTTTATGTGAAAACCATAAAGTAGCCATATCACTAAAGTTGCCTGGTCCAATGTTTGGCACTTAATGGGTTAGTTATTGAGATGGCTGGATTATTTTGGTTTCAAAGATAAAATGAAAAACTTATTGGAATATTACCCCTTTTTTCCATATACATGGGGAATGTCCTGACCTCTTTTTTTTTAGTGAGGACTCAGGTAAATTGCTATGTATGGGTCTCTACTTATATTTACCACTCTACCTCTGAGATTGTCTATCTTCCTCATTACTGTCTTCATCTCAGTCTGACCAGCACTGTGCAGTGAGTGGTAATGGGGGAAAGAATGAATAAAGAGAGGAGAAAACATAAAGAGCTCATGGGCCATTTCCTTTGGCTCTTCCCAGTGCCCTCTCTTTGCTCTGGGTGCTTGGGGATGCTTCTACTTGAGAGAACTGCTAGCAGCTGCCTGTGGTTCAAGTGTTTCTCCACATTTTATGTAGGTTTAATCCAGATGTTAAGTCTGTTCTCTAGAGTTTAATGGTGCTGGGGTTATTGCATCTAACCCTGGGAGGAGGGTTCACATGGTAATAAATAACCTTGCTAGAGAGGAGATCTGGGAGTTGAAGCCATAGTACCTGGCTTCCATTCCAGGCCAAACTGTTTTCCTAAAGTAGAGGAAATGTTGTATTGGGGATAAAGTGTCCTCTTAAGTGTTCTCACCTCTAGTAGGAAAAATTCAATTTCCTTGAAAGATATGTCACCACCGTTCCCTTCCTGAGACTTTAATCTCTGTATCACAGTGGAAAAAGCACTGAGGATCAAAGATACAATACAAATTACTGGGTCATGTTTTGAACCCTACTTGTGTGGTCATCAGAATATCTGGGAGCAGGAGGTGGCTGGCAGCAGATGGAGAGCTGTGGGAGTGTCAGAGGAACAGCAGGGAAAGCTGGTGAAATTATCCGAACACAGAATGGTGATTTTGATACTGTGTTCTGCCACCAAGCACAGGTTATTAGCTGTAAAAAATCAATTTTCTTTGATAGTGTCTCTATGTCCCTGGCCTCTTCTCTAAAATTTAGGTGATGACCAAAGTAACTTCAGACAGTCTGCTGTGTGGCACATTATGTGTTTGTTGCATTTAGTTGCTCTGGACATTATAAAATCAATACACTACAGATGCTGAAGCCAAATTTCAAAATGGATACTATATTTTTCCTATCTCTCTTGTAATTTCAATCAGATAAGGTTTTTTGTTTCTTGTTCAGTGCTGCTTGGTCAGTGTTCAGTTTCTAGCAACAACAAAAAAAAATAACTAATATGTGGAAATGATTCAATCTAGTCACAACAGATTTCTTCGGTTCATAATATGTGCAAAATACATGCAAGATTTTGTGAAAGAAACCATATCAGACACAGCTCCTCTTCGAATTAAATTTTTTTAACTGAAGTGACATTTATTTATACAATATGCAGTTTTCAGGGACACAGCACTGTAGTTTGACATCTGTCAATACTACATTATGATTTCCAAAGCTCCTCTCTTTTAGACAGTGTTTTCTTCTTTTATGGAATTTACTCCTGTATGTTACAATGTTTAACTTCTTTTTCAATTTATAAGCTTATCTTTTATAATTAAAGTAACATAACTACATTACCAACAAATTAAAAAAAATACCGTCAATGAAGTCATCACCCCAATAAAAACTACCAGCATTTTGGAGTTTCCTCTCAGTCTTTTTTGTCCAGGCATATGGGTTTTCTTATTAGTTGTGACATTGTACATATAAGCTTATAGCTCCTTTACATGTTACAATATCATAAACATTGTTAGTTTTACTGCAAAATCTTCACATATTTTGAAGGATCACAATACTTTGAGGAATAGGAGTGAGATATTTATTTTAATAGTCCTCTGTTGTTACAACTTCATGGCAGCATTAGACAGTGAAAAGTGTAGCAACGCTGACCAAAATTTGAGCTTGAAATTGCAGGCTGAACTAATTTTTCTGATCTGTGATCAGATGTAAATTATTTCTCCTTTTTGAACCTCAATTTTCTTATCAGTAAATTATGCCATCTGCTTGTGAAGATTTGGTCTGGAAATAATAGCTACTATCACATAGAATTTTTTTTTGCCATTATCTATAATAAGATGAGGAATATCTTTGCATATATAACACTTCCAGATTTTGTATATGTACTTTTATTTTTGGCTATTCTTCAAATGTGGAATTTCAGGGTTGATCAATTTAAAGATTCCCCACTTACTTTATTGTGTTCTTTTCCAAAAGAATTTACTAAAAAATTAAATCAAACTATAAAAGTATAAGAATCTGGTCTCATTTTTTAATTTTTCATGTGAACTTTAAAAAGTCATCCATTTAAGAAACTGTTAATGCAAATGGGATTTTGATTGTAAATTTCAACCTTCTCAACTGGGAATATATGTCTACTCATTAAGAAAATGTTTTGTATTTTTGTAAACTATTGTATTTTTTCATGTAGCTCAGTTTTCTAATCTAGAACATGCAAGAAGTTGTATGTCCCTTATTGCTACTGGGAATATGCACATATATAACAATTATAGATAATTCTGTGACATATATAATCTGTATTTGCTACATTCCTTTAAGATTCATCTCTATTATGTCTGCTTCTGCATCATTCTTTTACTAGCCACAGTTAATAAAGCAATTAAGTAATGATAGAAATTCTGAGGGGGCTAGTGCTTTGAGGGAAAAAAAAAAGCAGTAAATTGAGATTTGCAATTCATACTACCATATTAATGTTTTCAAGAAGTCCTGCAGTCAGAAATGTTTAAACTTGGTTCCATTCAGCATTACTGTGCTTATTTGGACAAGGAATCCTCCTGCCTCTTTTTCTTCAAAGAACTTCACATGAGAACTCATATTTGAGAAAGATACTGTAATATAACCCCATGAAATATAATGTTGAGATTAATTTGGAAAATATTTTATTATTAATGTCAGAGAAGTAGTCATTATTCCTTTTTAAAAATGTCATTAGCAGGAATGATTATTAAGTGTCTTCTAAGTAGCAATTGTACAATTTAGTTTTTGCCATTTAGTCTACTAAAATGGTATAAGTTGTTCATATTAACCTTAAAAATCTTGGGATAAAATCTACTTGTAACATGGATTGTTTTAAATATAACTTGAATTCTTTGCTAGTATTTTATAGAACTTATGATTTTTGCACCTATATTCACAAGCAAAATTGGTCTGCGGTTTTCATTTTTCTTTTAAACTTGCTAGATTTTGGTGTCAGGGATATATACTTTATTGAATGATGTAAGCACTCTCCTATCTTTTTCTTAATACAGTAACTGTTTATATTCAACATGGGAATTCTTTGCTCCTTGAATGCCTGAAATAATTCCCTGGTTAATGGACTGAAGCCTTTTATGAGGTATGCTCTTTAATAACGCTATCAATAATTTCTTCAGTATTGCTCTTGTCAGGCTTTCTTTTTGTTGTAATGTCAGTTTTGGTAATTTCTTCCAGAAAATTATCTATTTTGTTGATTGTTTATTTGCTTATAATTATCCGTAGTATACTTAAAAATTTTCAAACAGTTTCTGTAGCTGTCTTGTGTACCCTCATTTGTAATTCTGCTGTTTTTGTCTTTCTCTTTTTAAAGAGCTATGCTTAAAATTCTCAATTAACTCAATTTTTGTCTTTTTAAATTTCTGACTTTGTTATTATATTTTTTCCTGAAACTACTTATATTTCTTTTCCTAACTGTTAATGTGATTATTTTCCCTTTCTCTTCTACTTTTTTTAAACAATAAGGACACATAAGCATAAATTTGCTTATAAGTAGATCTATGAATTCTATAAAGTTTAATGTCTCATTTTGCTGTATCTAAATAAGCTTTTAAAATATTATTAGCTGATCTAACGAAGATCTCAGGAAAAATTCTCTAAATGAGCCTGATATTTTTGGCTCTACTATATATATTGCCTTTTCTTTCTAATTTTAACTGCTAGATCCAATTGGCTAGGATAACTGTACCCTTGTGCAGTGATAATAATACCAACCACACTCAATGGCATTAATACAACATAAAAAGTGTTAGTTATTTTATACTTAGTGAATTTCTATATCAGTTGCTAAGCTGTTATGAGCACACATCTCAGATTCAGAGCATATCGTCTTATCTTTTCCCCCAACAGTTTGTTTTTATAGGTCATTTATTTACTTTCAGGATTTATCTAACTGTGTCACCTAGTTACATATCAGTTACATATTAGCTGTAACATATTATAAGCATCATCTATTAATTGTAAATCATGTCCCAATTCTTTTTGACTTTTTTGTATCTTCTTAGTTATGGTAAGTGATAGAGAAGTATTCATTTTGTTCAACCATTCAACAGCCATTTCACACATATCTTTTGGTTGTCTATGACACCTAGTCTCTGAACTGAATGTTCTGTTATAATAGACTAGAATGGATAAATTACTCTCTTGATTTTTCTGCCTAAAGGTGAGTACAGACATGGTTCCAGAAACCCTTGAATGCGGCTTTAGAACAGAGGTTCTCATCATTTGCAGACTTTAGAATCACCTAGAAGCTTTGCTAAAACAATGAATGTTTGTCTCCACCCCCAGAGTTTCTGGTCTGGCAGATCAAGGGCCCAGAATTTTTATTTCTTGCACATTCTCAGGTGATTTAGACACTGCTAGTCTCAGTTAACACTTTGAGAACCACTATTCTCAAATCACATAAGAAACATGCAGAACCTTGTACCACCATAATAAAGAGATGTAGTCAAGCTCGACGAGTCCCAAATGCTCTCAATCGATTGGTCTTGATCGTAAGTCTGGAAAGAAATCTATTCTCCAATAACAAGTGCTGCTCAGAATCCATCTTCTTGGCTTTCTTACTGGCTTAGTCTTAATCTGGGGAGGTCATCATTCTCAGATTTAGAAGCACGGCCATGTATAGCCAGTGTTTGGGCATGCTTTATTCTTGTGGCAGGCATCATTTGAAACACACAGACTCATGCTCTCTCTCTCTCACCTGAAAAGAACTTCTGTATACTTTGATCTGTCTTCTTACTTACAAGGGTGAGATAGATGAGCAGAATGCAGAAATGGCACAGCACAAATGATTCTTCCTAGAAGCCAAAAAGAACAAGTAAGCACGCTTAGGCCTTTGCTGAATTCCTTCAAAACTCTATTGCCTCTGGGTGTGCATATTTTTTCATGCTCAGATTATCTGATTATTTTTTATGTTCTTGACAAGGGAGAAGAATCCAGTCTTTTGCTTTTTTATATACCAATCACAACGTTTGAATTGCTTGGAGAATTAGGAGGGGTTCCTGTAGTAAGTAATTCTGTGTCATCAATAAATAAGGTTATGAGAAGTGACTTTCAGGTTACCCAACTATGACCTTTAAACATGTTCAAGAACAAACCTTTCAGTCATGCTAGGTAGACGGTTTTAGTATTTACTAACATTGCTAATATTATTTTCCACAAATCCTTAAAATTTAAATCCATTTTTTTCTGGTTCCATTATTTCATAAAGAGGGAGCTGAGGTTAAATCATACCCTTTAAGGCAAAACAAATTGAGTTCATTTTACCTTTTTATAGATCTAGCTCTTAATCCTGTTAATGCATTTTTTTTGGTCAACATCTCCTGAAATATTTAAAAACATTTATCTTCGATAATAACAGGTCAGGCAGTGTTCTAAGCACTTCACATGTCATTACATGCCTTACCAAATTAGTAGATTTATACTTGAAACCTCATGGGTTTAAAAAGATAATAATTTCACATAAAAATTCAGACATTTCTCTCTAGCAAAGAGAAATAAATTTTCCTGGTCATTATTTCTTGCTTTGCTATCTTGTAAGGGTTCTCTGGAAATTGATTTTTGATTTGCACCAGTTGTTTTAATATTCGAGAGTTTTCCAATTTGTCAGTATTAGTAGCTTCGATGAATACTGCAATTTACTCTGGCATTCAGGGAAGCTCAATATGCTAATTAAAAGATGCTGATCAGGAGATGTTAAATTTCTTTTAAGATTTCAGTTAAATATAACACAAAGATTTCTGACAGAAAAGAAATGGATGATAACGAATATAGAAGCAGGTGGCAGAAGCGGTTTGAAAGATCTCTAGATGTCATTCTGGAAGATTAAGCAAAATAATACTCTCCTGAACAGAAAAGCTTAACCCTTGATAATTTTGGAAATCTTTGAGCCTAACATGGGAGTTTCATTCGTTCGACTGTTCAGGCAACAATCTTGAATAATCCCCTACTCTGCATGTGGCCCTGTGCTGAGGTTAGGGTTCAGTGACAAAGTACTGGTCATGAAAGGGTAGAAAAGTGTGGACAGAATTCACCTTACCCTTGCATTTCCTGACTGAGAAGGACAAGATTTGTAGATGGGTAAAAATGCTGGAGAGGGGCGTTTTCACTCAGGATGTTGTAATTCAGAAAATAGGGAATTGTCCTCAGGGAAAGATACTTTTTTCCTACAAGGGTTCTTGATAGGAGTGTGAGGAATAGTGGTGGTTGTGAAGAGGAGTGACTTAGGAAGTGACTTAGGAGGCCAAGAAAGGGCCCTTCCCCAGTCTGGAGCAGGTTCAGGTTTGGGAGTCAAGTGAAGGTGCAAAAACTGGTTTGGGAGGTTTTGGGGTATGGAGTCCAGGTGGTGCCTGATATCGGAAGTAGATGAAAATAATACTGTGCGCTAACATTGTCAGACTCTCTTCATGTACAATTAAGATTGAGGGGTCCTTACTGCTTTCTTTTAATAAAACCTCTTGTAGGGTAAGTGAAAATGTATCAGGCTTTTCTGACCTCCCGCCATGAGGCATAATGATAGATCCTTGCAGTCCTGAATGCATGCTTGGTGGTGGGCACCTGGAGTAGGATGTGGAAATATGTAGATGCGATTCACCTGGGCCAAGGCCGGGGCTTGTAAGGGTGGTGCAGCAGAGTGCAGTGTGGTGGTGTGGTGCCGAAGGTGGAGGAGTGCGACAGGGAGTGGCAGAGTGTGACAGAGTAAGGCAATGATGAACAGCGGAGAGCATGAAGACTTCAACAGGGCTGCTAGAACCAGTAAAGAACCTACCCGGTATGGGTTGGTTGCATTAGACCTCTTTTTCCCATCTTTTCCGTATGTGTTTGGTGGCATTATTCTGAAGGACTGAATTTATCAGGTTGGGAGGCAGTCTCATCCACTCTCATATAAAGCAACTGCAGGTCTTCTGCTGCAAACCACTCTGGCAACAGAATTGTGTAAATATCCAGTAAATTACCATGATGGTTTTAGGGATGATACTGTAAACTTTGAGTAGGAATTCCATAAATCGAACTTTATTGTGCTATGTAACACAACATAACATAGCAAAATATAATATCCCTGTTAAATCTTTGTCAATAAGTGATAATAAGATCAAAAGAAAAATGCTTTATTTTCTCAGTGATACCAAAATGTAAGATTTAAGCATATCAGCATTAACTGTAAGACAATTGAGGTGTTCCCTTCTCTTTCCTTCTTTCTGTAATACCTTTTTCAGGTCACACTGAATGTTTTATAACCTAATACTTTTTATTTTATAATATTGGGAGTAGCTCTCTACTATGTGCTTCTTATGTGCTGGATATTTTGCATAGATAATTGCTAATGCTTCAGAGAAATTTTGCCGAGGTAGGCATTATTATCTCTCTTTTACACTGAAATCAGACAGTTGTCAGAGGGGCAGAGATGCAATTCTTGCACTGGCAGGTGCAAGAACTGAGGCCCTCTCTCTCCAGCACACAGCTTTCTTTACAAGTGCTTCCTGTACGTAATTACTAATCAGGGCCATTACAAGCTGCCCTTGATGACTAATGAGATTTCAGATTTAGTTACGAGAATCAAAAAAGGGGTCAAACGTATGTGGAAGGATAGAATTGGACTTTTAGTGGTGAACTTTGTATAATATTTGCATAAATTGATTTTTAATTTTGTACACCTGAAACTTATATAAGGTTATAGTGCATTATTACTCCATTAAAAGGTAAAAAGTAGTTTTAATATCAAAAAGGCACTTAAAAATGAGGCCAGTGTTATTTAAAAAGTTATTAAAATGATAATACTTTCTAAGTATTATCATTTAAATAAATTTTACTCTTGTGGGTCTATATTTATCATGGTTTTACTAGGAATTCAGTTGTGCCAGGAACCAAATTTAACATCTACTTTGCAACCAGAGTGCATGTGATTCAGTTCCCTCGCCCAAACACAGAATGACAAGTTTTCATGTCCAGTCGAAAGATAGTTGATATCTTCTTCTTCAGATCACCTGCTATCAGTAAAGATTTGTCCAGAGTGGGTGGTCTGGGAGATCTCACCATGCCCCTGCTTGGCTGGCTTCATAGTTTGCAGCG